TTTTCTCAATGTTCGATCTTTATATTAATAATTTTGACAATTATATCTTATAGGAAATGAAACTATTTTTCCGGATTTAAATCGCGTATATTCGGTTTTTTCAAACAAACCGACGTTTACAGGTCCCATGGTCACGATTGACTGTCTCTGTCTCAGTCAACCGTGACCCTGGGGACCTGTAAATGGCCCGAACGTCGGTTTGTTTGAAAAAAACAAATATACGCGATTTAAATTCGGAAAAATAGTTTCATTTCCTATGTGTAACAATCGTGAAAACCTAAGAATTATTTCTTAAACAATAGTCAGCCATGAATGGTGGAAATGCTTCCAGGTCGAGATATTACGGCGCTCATTTGTTTAGTACAGCTTTAGTTTTATATTTTTAGCTTTAGTTCAAATTCCCATTGTCAGTAGAAGAATCAAAAAAGTATATAGCGAAGAAAAACTTTCGTAGATTTCTCACAGACGGCGATACGGTAAAAAAATCGTTAAAAACAAAATACAAAGATCTGCTGCAACAAGCACATAGAAAGATTCGTAAGACCTGTTGGTGCTCAGTTGGGAGAGCGTCAAGCGCGGTTTGCTGAAGGCACTGGTACGAATCCAGCCGGACCAAAGGATTTTTTCTCAAGGGGTAAATTGATAGAAGTTATATTATAAATTTATTTCAATGTTATTATCATCGTTCTTCACAACGCAACCAATAAAGCATATTATGTAGCGATAACAGAGCAATAATTGATAGACATTTATGTTTTAATTGGGTCAGAGACACGAAACGTGCTCAATTGAGAGGTAATGTATTCGATATGCAATGTAATTAACTATTGTTGTGGATATCTGGGAATGTATTTGGTTTGACGGATATTGGGAAAAGGATTTCATTTTAAGGAATTTACTTATATATTTACTTTACTTATACTTATATATTATAACAAGATATTCAAAAACAAGACACCCCTTGTAACATGATATTCCAAATCGGACTATGGATATGTGAAAACTCTATTCCATAAAAATCGTATGTTGCATGACTGCCTCCGTGGTCGAACGGTTATCATGCTGGTCTGCGACGCAGAGATGCCGATTTCGATTCCCGGGCCGGGAGAAATGACCTACCTTTATTTATCTCGTGAATTTGGGTGTAATTTGTAGTTGTCTTTGTGTGTATCCACTATAAAATTTTAATTAAACTAACTTGGGACTTTAATTACTTATGAGTTAAAATTTTAAGTTATATATAGTTGTCAAAGTTTAGTAATTATATCTCTCGCAAACGGCGAATGACTCTGACTTACACAGCGTCCGAGTAACTATTTTAAATTTGCTAAATTTCACTTAAGAACAATATTGCTATAATGTTAAAGTCGCGTCATAGTACTAACTGAGTTAATGAATAGTCACAAAATAAATAGATTTAAATAGATCGCTCTAAACTGTTAAAACTCTGTGCGGTAACGTCGATAACAGCGGTTCGATGCAAAACGCACGAGCAGGGTTTAGTATCGTTATAGAACGGTTGCACGTTTGAAGGTACTTATCATCAAATACAGCGTTAAAAATTATCAAATATTATAACAAAAGCTTAAAAAATAATTTTTGGTAAATTTATTATTGTTTATCATGTTAGCAATATAGTCCTGAGAGGTTGCTAGTATCTAACAAATAAACTGTACATCGAAGCAGAAAATATATACGTTGTTGGTTTTTTTTACTTGACATAATACATTTTAAAGTTAATCACTCACACTGTTATTTCTATGGCCTTATGTCGAATAAAAGACAATTATGAATGAAAGGAATAACAGGTTGAATACAACCATTTAACAAATCGAAACAGATTGTTTACTGCACCACGGCAACGAAGTTAACAAAACATGACTATATTTTAATATATAGGTTTGTGACGAAAATATTTAATGCTATGCACTGCTATAACCACCTGTGAGTATCTCGTAATTCGATCAAAATACGATAGATGGTGCTGAAAAACTAAATCGCATTGTTAAGATTTTTCCACGAATAGTTTTTTTTTACTAAAAAAAAAGGAGAAGGTTCCCAATTCCACTGTGTTTTTGAATGTATATTACGCGATAACTACGGTATTTGTGAACTGATTTTGATAATTATTTTTTTCTTGGAAAGAGGGTTCCACCTCTAAGGGTGGCAAACTCCCTAGATCCGCTGATGAATCCGGTTTTGCGCACTTTCCCATAACATATTTCAAAAAAACTTGGCAAATATATGTAACTCTACTAACTTTTGAGATCGTTTCTTTTGTATATAAAAGTTACATTATTATGATGTCATGTGTAAGCGACACCCCCACCCATAACAGTTGCAGTGATGCCATTACCCTTCAAAACTGGATCCAAGTAATGCTGATATGACTGCTTGTTGGCACAAATAGGTATGGTGGCAGCAGTTTCCTGGACGATCTCCTTCATAAGGACCTTCAACTCCTCGTAGTTAAAATTGACTTTTAACTAAAGACTAAAGAGAAAATGTGAAAGAAGTTAAAATACTTCTTGTTTAATAACTGTCTTGAATACGGTAGTATATGATGATTTATATGGTCGCTGAGCAAACAACACTGAAGTCAAAAATTAGCGGTTTTTTTACTTTTTATAGTAACTAAAGTCAAAATGAATCAAGAATATCAACGAAAATTATATATCCACCGCACATACAATTATTTGTTATCCATAAATGGAGCACTTATTATTAACAATAGCTTGAAAATACTTGTAACAGATGCAAGTTTCTCACTCTCCTTTAAAATTGCTTGAAATTATTAATTATGCAGTATTGGTTGCTAAGCGACGATAAACACATTCATAAATGTAGGTCATACAAATATTCATCCCGGGAACTGAACCCAGGCCTTCTGCGTAGCAGCCCAACATAACTGTTAGGAAACGGAGGCAGTTAAATATCACGGTTACAATAAATATAAACCATTTTTTTTCGACTATTTGCAACACAGTAGTAGCACTAGAATTCCCTGTGAGAGTGTCATCCAGGATAGTACTGCCACCTTACCTATTTCTGACGCCAAGCAGTAATGTCAGCATTACAGCAATCCAGCTTTGAAGGGTAAGAGTGCTGGTGAAATTACAGACACATGTCTGGGTGACGGGCGCAGTGGCAGCGCCCCTCAGATCTTTGCGATTTAAAGCTCTGAGCGGTACTGCAACTGTTATGGACAGGCATGTCAATTACCACCAGGCGCACGACTTGTTCGTCCCGTCACTTGGTAATAGAAATAAAAAAAAACATTTTCAATACCTAATTCAGTAACAAATAATTGAAATCAACAGACTGAATGATAATGATCCGATTAAATCCGACTTCAATTTTTCTTCAAAGGTTTTTTAGTTTAAGTTAACACTTTCAATGGAAGTAAATTATTAGCACGTTATACATATATCGAACCTGGCGCTGTTACTTAATTTCATTTTGTACAACATTGTTCTGCTCGTGCATGTGGTGACCGTGCGGCAGTGCGCATGCCAAGTACTCTACTACTTGGCAATTTTTCTTCCACTTAAATCACTCTTAAATGTTATGAAACATTTCATCGATTCGACAAATCGATTTCATCGTGTAACCTAACATTTCATAAACAAGTATTCATTCAACACATCTCGGCATTTTAATGTGCAAATAGAAACACGAGCGATATCCTCCAAATCGTTCATCAATATTCATGCTGTTAATTCCGATATTATCATAACTGTAATCGAAATGCACCGGTTCCAATAAAAACGATCAATTTGACGCGTGTTCTGTATATTGTAGTGAAAAATTCAGCAACATTTAACGCTGATTACTGTTTATGACGTAACCATTCGCTCCAGAATTTAACCACGCCTGAAGATTATTATGAACTTCGGCAGATACATTTAATTCATGGCCAAAAATGCGACCGGGAGGCTTGGCGTCCTTTCGAAGGTGAGGCGTTACTTCGGGACAGTTGCTTCAGCTATATCAAAAACAACTCTGGTCATGTATGCTGCTTCCACATGTGGGATGGCTTGGTTTGAATTCATTCGACAAGCGTGCCAAGATATAGGGGACTCGGATTTAGTAGAGGCAAAGCTGCAGAACCTTGAACATCATGATAAAGTTGCCCGCTTATCGGTATTCTACAGGATATATCACGGAGAGTGTGCGATGGAATTGCATAATTTGATTCCGTCTTCGCCTTTCCATCATCCGGGGACTAGAAGTGAGCTGGGGTTCCATCCCCATGTTGTGGTATTCCCAGGGTTCTCACGAAGCGTTCCGATTCCACATTTATATGGCGAGCGGGTAAGGAGTGGAATTCCTTGCCTGCGAACTTGTTCCCCGAATGCTATTACTTGGACCTTTTCAAGGCGAGAGTGAATAGGCATTATTTAGGTGTGCATGCTCCATCTTCGACCTCGTCGTCACTCAACATCAGGTGAGATGGAAGTCAAATGCGCACTTATTTTTTGTATAAAAAAAAATCACAATTTATTCATAGCTTTATAATTTAAAATATGTAAATGTAGGTCTGATGTTTAAGAACGAATTAACTTTTGTTGCACTTAGGTCCGAGTTCATCGACTTTGTCTAATCAGATGATTTCCTAAACGGCCGATCAAATCTCAACCCCTGTTTAATCAGGCGATCATCAAAGATGTGTTCACCACATAATTTCAACCATTGATTACTAAATTGAAGGTTTTTGAACGAAAGAGTGAAGTGTACACAGCTGCCAATTTGTGAAGGCGAGTAAATGAATGTAAAGCATAACGTTGGCAGAACTAGACGACGTAGTCGGATAATATTATAATGACACAAAATAAAATACCTTCAAAATGTGCGATCCTTACTTAAAATTGCATACATCTTTATTTAGCTACATTACCATTGTCAAAATAGCGTGGCCCGTGGTGTTTACTGGTGTGGTGTTATTGTTTGCTTTTATTGAAGTTTGTGCGCGTAACGATACAAGTGATTTTATACCTACTTTACAATGGAAGGCAAAAAGAGGAATACAAATTTCACTCCCGATGAAAAGAGAATACTGTCGGAATTGGTTTTAAAATACAAAGATAGCGTCGAAAATAAGAAGACCGACGCGGCTACAAATACGCAAAAAAATAATGCATGGATTCGTTTGGCAACTGAATTTAACAGCGTTAGTACATTTTGCCACAGAACGCATCTAAGCCTTAGAACATGCTGGGATAATATAAAGCGGCAGAGTAAAAAAGAAAAAGCCAATATTAAGAAAGAGGCCTTCAAAACAGGTATGAAATACCACACATTTATTTATCAATAGTCATAACGTTAACCATTAGCCCTACTACATACACAATAATACATATAGTTTATTATACTACATGTATTTCATACTACCTATATGCTAAGTAAACTATATGTATGTCTTCACATATTTATTTTTTAGGTGGTGGGCTGCCTCCACAAATGGCTCAGGACACTCAAATAGATGGTATAGTAGAAGCCGTGTTAGGTCCCGCGGTTGAAGGCATCCCTAATTGTTATGATAGTGATAGAACAACCAATACTGTAAGTTTTTCTTTTGATTACTATCTTATCCATTTAAATTATCTAACCTCTTTATTATCGGCCTGTGTCCTTATAATTTAAAAAAAAAAATATGCTCAAAAGAGTAAGCATAAACTTCTTTCTTTCTAACAGTAAACAACACGCTTCTTATGTCAATGATGAGCATTTGTGAGAGTAAATTCAACTTTGTCACCATCTAATGTTCTTTATATATTTACTTACAGATAATAGAATTTGAAGTGGACGAGCCAAACACCTTGGATTTATCAATTTTAACCGATGAATATAATAGTCAGGTATTGCAAAATTTATTTAATTACGGACAGCAATATGGGCAATTTGTAAAGGTATTACATATATTTTTATGATTATTTAACCTTTCAGGAGGAGCGACCAACTACTCCATATGTAGCAGGAGTAATTATTTCTAATGAAGTTACAAAAGAAAATGTAAGTGTTAAACTAAAACATTCAGGGGACCCTGAGATCAATACACCGACAACATCAGGATATATTGATTATAGTAAACATCCACCAAGTACATCAAATGTAAGTGATTACAATACACTGTTATGTAATAATAGTATGTAATAAGTAAAAGTATTGATTTTACATTATTTTTCCAGGATGTTGGATCTTGGACTGACTGGACTCCAAAAACGCTGAAACGTCCTCTTTCTGACTGCCTCAGGAGTAATATTAGAAAAGAGGACAAACATATGAAGCGGAGGAGACCAGTAAATGAAAATTTGCAAGATCAAATATTACAAGAAAAACTTGATTTGGTGAAATTATTAAAACAAAAAGCAGAAGAGGAAGCTAATATTAGGATTGCTATTTTAAAAGAGCAGTTGAAACAGGAGCAAATAAAGACGGAAAAACTAACAAAATAGGAAATAAATAAAATATTTGATACTACTGTTGATATTTTATTTTAATGTATAACCACTTATCACAATATACGTTATGCCTACAGACTCTTAAAATAATTATTTATTAAACTCCTTCTTTCTGGATTTATGTCTCGCCTCTCAATATTATGTTCCTGAGAACGCTGCTGACGGATTGTTCCCTCCATCAGCAAAGATTCCCATGGAGCTGGCAAAGCTAGGTCAGGATCATCTTCTGGTATGCCCTCACCCCTAGACTGCAGTATATTATGTAATACTGCAGTGGCCACAATAATAGGCAAACAATTTTTTAAGGCTACTCTAATACCCAATGCTAGTACTGGAAACCGACGTTTCCAAATGCCAAACATTCTCTCAACCGGGTTTCTTGTCCTTATTTGGGATTCGTTAAACAAAACTTCTTCCCTTGTTGTGGGTCTATCTAAAGGCATCATTAGATATCTTCGGTTCATATAACCACTATCTGCAACCAAAACAGCATCACCATAGTTCCCGAGCTCAAACATGGCATTTCTTCGGCAGGCACTGAAAATCCTCTCATCATGTACACTTCCAGGCCACCTTGCTACTAAATCTGTAATTACAAGATTTGCATTGCAAATGGCCTGGACATTTATTGATTTCCAGGACTTTCTATTTCTGAAAGTTTCTGCGTAATCTCCTCCTGGTGATATTATTTTTATATGGGTGCAATCCAATGCACCAATTACTTTTGGAAATCGAGCGATGTTATAAAAATCTAATTGTGTGCTTCTTATCTCAGTGGAAGTCTGAGGAAATCTAATGTAAGTGGATGATAATCCGCCTATTGCTCTTGTAACCTTGTGTATCACTCGATGTGCAGTAGGCCGGCTTACTCCACAAAAATCTCCCATAGTAATTTGATGGTCACCAGTAGCATAGTATCTCAATGTCAAGAGAAGTTGATTTATTGGTGACATTGAGTTGTTCCTGAAAGAGGAAAAAAAATTAGTTCTAAACTACTTATTTAAGAGTTACACATTCCTTGGAAAAGATGATGTTTGTTATATGTAATGATCATTTATTAAATAATTACTTTTACATTTATTTTATTTTTCACATGTTTTATTTATAATAGTGGTACTTAGTAACTACTTATTATAAACAGGTACTAATCTGTTATCATAGTAGAAAGGCAGTAAGGACATAGTTAAGTACACAAAAAAATAATTAAGGTATGTAGTATGTAAGTACTAACTTGTCATTTGGATATTCCAGTTGGCTTTCAATCAGTGCAAGAACTTCCATTGTCGCTTCCTTAGATAAACGAAATCTAGTTTTAAAAGCAGTTGCATCAAATTCCTCGTAATAATTCCGACGAGTTGCAAAAATCCGAGGCATCTTCGTTGCCCTTTCAATGGCTTCCAAATCTTCAAGCACGTTCAAATAGTTTGATTCGAAAATAAAATCAAATGCGTTGTTCATTTTAAATAAAATTATTTTTGTTTACTTATCGTATTTTCGCAAACAAGCAAGATTTTGTAGCAAGACAACAAACTGAACTCAACTGTCAAAGTCTTAATCAACAGATAATCAAGGTTGGAAAGGTCCGTTAACTTAATCAACTGATTAAATGCAAAAATCGCCGTTTAGGATATGGTGAACATGACAATATGGCTAATCAGCAGTTAAGTCGCTCTAACGGCTGGTTAAGCCGTAATTGGCTGTTATAAAAAGTCCGTGAACTCGGACCTTAGTTTGTAAAACAAAAAAATCGTCTCGATCATAAACAAGATTCATAAGTAAGATCTTAATAAAGGTTGCGACCTTCTTTTAAGTATGAAAATACTTATATTAGGAAACATTGCTTATCTCTAATACGTAACAGTTATACAAAAATAGCATTAAATAAAACTTTTTATGTAGAACAAATATAGACTAGACTGTGTCATAGCCATTAACGCCCATCTCCAATTATATTTATAGGAAGTTTATTAGTTTATTTAACCAAATGTTGAAAGCGTAGTCCTTTAATCATACCACAATAAAAGTTATTAATAAACCAAAACAATACAACTTCTATACTGTTTTTTTAATTTAAGTGTAACTACGCCTTGGATAAAGTTACAAGTACAGAATCTCACAAATAAAAAAAAATTGGCAGGATATATATTTTTTTTATACTGAGTGACGGGATGAATAGTCTAAGCGATACGCCTGTCCATAGCAGTTACGGTGCCACTCAGAGCTTTAAATTGCAAGACACTGCCACTGCGCTTGTCACTCTGATACATGAGTTGAGCAGTCCCATGTGCCTGTAATTTCACCCGCACCCTTCAAATACCGGAACGCAGCAATGCTCACATTACTGCGGCAGCACTTTCTTGGACGAACTATTTCTCGAGGAGCTCTACTGCAACTAATATAAATGTAACTATACTATACTATTCTGAGTAAACTATGTATTCGTTTGCAGTATTACTGAATAACTAAGCCTCCTGCCAATATGTAATAGTTATGCAGAAGAGAACCAATCCACCGTAATACCTTAATTAAATTTTTTATTTAATACAAGGACAGCCGTCAAACAATAAACTATTACTTAATTAAATACCTGATTGAGGTTTTCACCGTTTTGTTCACATTTTTATTTTTTTATTAGAGTTACGGTGTCTCGTGGATAAATAAATAAAAATGTTTTGATTTAATTTTGAATGTAATTTTTTTTCTACACGAGAACTTGGCGTTTTTGCATGACTTATTACACTTAACCCTGAAAATTACGTTTTATGGGTGGGTGGATTAAGTTTGCATAGTTAATTACGTCCAAAAATATAGATAGCAACATCTGCAGAATAGGCAACAGGATGCATTTTTTTTTAATGGTTAGTCATTGTCGTTGGGTACAAAGGGATGAGATCGCACAAGACTACGCAGTCTTGCGCGCGGGCGCCAACTAGTACCTTTGTTTATTTTTTGTTATAATCTCAAGTACCGGGACAAACAAGTCGTGCGCCTGATGGTAAGGTACACGCCTGTCCATAACAGTTGTAGTTCCACACACGCGCTTTTTATCGCAAAGATCTGAGGGGCAACGCCACTGCGCCCGTCACCCTGAGACGTAAGATGACAAGTCTCATATGTCTGTAATTTCACCAGCACCCTTACCCTTCCAAACCACAACGCAGTAATTACTGCTTGGTGGCAAAAATAGGTAAGGTGACAGAGTATTACCCTGGACAAACTCTTTCACAAGAAGTTTTATGGCTACTAAAAACTATCTGAGGCCAGAACCATAAATAAGTATAACTTCTTACCATTTTCCCAATCTTTTGAAACGCTACACGCTCCATGGTCACGTCTACCCTTTTCCGCTACCGACTATCTCACTTGATCTCAATTTCTCGAGGCGTTACCATTGTAACTCACTTTTTTCTTAGTGTGGTTTCTCAGTCAACCCGTGACCACAACTGGGTAAACAACAAGTCGTATGACGTCTTTGTTTTAACAAACTTGTAACTAGAAATTATAATTTAGTGAATAACCACGAAGCGCGTTCCATGAACGTGTTAGGTAGATTAAGGCGATGCTTAAAAGGGATAATTTATATTTCTCTCTATCTAACCCTATTCTACCTCAACTATTCTAAAAATGAGAAATTCTGTTTGCCATACCAAACAACCCCTTTATGGTATATACATAGATAGAACATACCCTACTTCCTTCAAAGGACCAGCAGATAGCAATTCGTATAGTAGAAACTTTAAAGCAAGAGGAGCGCTTTGTCGCTGTCATGTTCCGTTCACGCTTGATTGCCACTAGTTAATTACCTTCTAGTTATATTGATGACTATGTTGCTCCGTTTAGTTCGGAGTTTTTGGCTCCAAGTTTAAGTGGGATGTTCAAGTTAATTGGGTTTATTTAAAATCTATCTAAAGCCGCTTTCTCAATCTTGTTACGTTAGACATTATTATCAGCTTTTTGATTTGAAAATTAAACTATTTTTTCTGATCTAATTCTACCCATGTCAAAGAACATAATAGCTGATGTCAAGTACTGTTGCGTAAAAAAGTCTGCAATCTGTGAACATGTCATGGTTAAACCCACACATTCAATTAAGATTAAGTAAGGCAGCTGGTGTGAGTTTGTTTATTTTTAGTGTGTTCTAAACCATTACTTGTTACGGCAAATATTTTAGAAGCTGTAGAGCTTTTTATGAAAGAATTCGTCCAGGGAAGTATTGTCACCATACCTATATCTGTCGCCAAGCAGTACTGTGAGCATGACTGCGTTCAAGTTTTGAAGGTTAGAGGTGCTGGTGAAATTACAGGCACATGGGACTTGTCACTTATGTCTCTGTCAGGGTGACGGGCGCAGTGGCAGTGCTCATCAGATCTTTGCGATTTAAAGCTCTGAGTGACACTGCAACTGTTATGGACAGGAGTGTAGCTTACCATCAGGCAGGCGCACGACTCGTTCATTCCGGCATTTGATATTATAAAAGAAATATTGTTTTCACTAATCTATACGCCATTTTATATCGTCCCATCAATTATCATGATGAACACGTCACCGAGCAGGTATGAACGGTGAGGAATGGAGGAGCCTACAGCAACAAAAGTCTGGCTTTTGAATAGGGCGATGATTTTTAGTCAATCCCGAATCTCGGAGGGAAGTATTATCCTCTAGAGAGGATGTGAGTGGTTTTTTATCATCCTTTAGACAGGGTGATAAAAAACCACTAACCATTATAAAGGAGCATACTGTATAACGGAAATAAAAAATACATGTTCGGTTTTTTTTTTTCAAATACTTAACAAATAAATAAGTTACGACGTCTCAAAGTTTTCCGAAAAATTGTGAACAACATTGACACCCGATGATTAGCGGATGCCGTTATTATGGCAACAGGAAAGGTGTGGAGCAGTGGGCGGAGGTAGCGCTCAATTTCAGTTACTATTTTGAGGTCACCACGCGTTACAAATTATTAGGAAATATTAACATAAAAAATGAGGATTTTTTGTTTTATTTCACTAATGTGTTCTATTACTGAATCTTATGCACAGGAAAAAAATGGACAGTGATTTTTTTATCACCCTGTATATGTATTACTTGAAGTTTAAATAAATATACTCTGATCATAATTTATGTAGTTAATTTGATATTCAAATGTTCAGCCTCCAAGAAATAGGCTCAAGTTCATGGTTTCAATATTCTCGGTGGTTTATGGGCTCTCTATTAATATTTATTAATTTTTGCGTAATCAATGCTACGCTGACCCAACTGACCTTCTGTTACGGTGAGATGATTTTTTATGTCCCATTTGGATTTTAATATAAAGCAATAAATTTCATCACAGTTCTGACTATCGATAAATATGTCATAAAATTATAACATTTTATCTTAACATCGTTAGGTGGATGTGAGGTTGATTGAAACTGAAACTACAAATTGAAAATTTTGTTTAATAATTATATATATAGTACGTTGGGCCTACTTGATACATTAAAATTAACATATTTTTTAAGAGTCGATACTACGTCGAATTTCATTTTTTCCCGTACTGATAAGGTACATTTTGCTTGGGTCGAGCGGCAGGGCTTTATTTCAAAATTTATTTTTTTACAAAGGATATTAAAGTCATTTAAAAAATATATACAGTATACTATACTTGTTCTATTTAGTTCAGTTGATATAAAAAAAATCATTGGTATCATTGACTTATAATTATATGGACGTCGGGTCCGCGCTAAAAAGTGTCCGAACTTATAAGGCGTTAAAATCGTATACAGAGCGTCATTCACGCTTTAGTCTTCGTTTGTTCGACTGACAGCGAAGCAAGCAAAATTAGACAGTACTGCGATGACATTACAATTTAAATTCAACGTTTTAGCTTCTTCATATTCCTTTACAAGTCACTACGTTTAAATAGGTTGACTTGGGACATTTTTTTCGTGGTTTTTGTATTAGACCCGTCGTCCATTTATTTGTAAGTCAATGATTGGTATATATAAAGTACCTATTGAATACAACGGTTTTCTTTTAAAATTTCGAGGTAAGATTTTTTCTATCGTGAAAATTTTTAGGAATTGTGTTTTCACACCACATATACTAATCTGTGCATGTCCGCAATTTTACTAATATTTTTTTGAAAGAGATTGATTGAAAAGTTTCACTGTTATACAGAACCAACCAAAGCCATTTTAAGCTATATCAACTCTTAGGTAAAAATCGTCGATTATTCGCCATGTATGTCATCATTTTCTTAAAGGAAATTAATGTGACTCAGTCACTACAATGAAACTGCA